GAAAAGAGTTTTAAGTTGAGGTTTGCCCGGTTTTATTATGATTTCTTTTTACTTTAGTTTTGTGGTTGCTGCTGCCGCTGTCAGCTGGCAATCAACAACGAAGTCAGCGAGGCAGCAACAAGGTAAACATCAGAGACGTCCCACAAGGGGGTTGGGGTTTAAGAAAGGTGGATACCAAGGGGGGGGAGGAGTGCATGTGGGTGGATGACACAGCCCTAGGTTAATGTCAGAGATCCGCCGAAATAAAACGAAAAAGAAATAAGCCAGGCCAAAGGAAAATATTTTAAAGTTGCATTGTTCGCGAAAAGAAGAGGAAATTAAAAAGCCACGAATGAGTAACGGAAAGATTTCCACATGGCAAAGTTGAACAGATATGTGGCAGGCAGGGAAAGAGAGAGAGAGGTGCATGCAACAAGCGGAAAATAATTATAAATTTTAAGTGCCACAGTGCACAGTGGAGGGATAGATAGAGATACATAGATTCAGGGTATCTTACGGATTGCTTGGTTTTTTCTTCTCTTTCGGTTTTTTTTTGGGATAATTTACAAAACCCGCGGTACGGATACGTGTAGGTAGATGGTGGATGGCGATAAACATCGCACATATCTGACTTAGAATTTCATACGTGAGTGAGTGTGTCGCCCTCTCTCTTTCTGTTTGTACACTCAAAGAAATGTTTTCCATTTTGGTGAAAGAGAAAAAGGGCCTAAAAGAAGAGCTAGTTAAATTCCTTTCCCATTAATAAACTTTCAAATGGATTTGAAATATATTTCTCTCAGTGCACCCGTGCACTTCCCTTCGCTGTTTCTGAATGCAGCTCATTTTCATGGCGCTGACTGTGGGAGTAGGTTGCTCCGGTCTCCGTTTTCGGCCAGGTTTGCAGGCACCTCCAGCCCGTGAAAGAGATAGCAACTTGGTAGAAAAAAAGAGATGGATGTACGGACAGAAACGTAGACGTAGACGGAGACTTTGTCGTTGCGGCTGACGACCATCGCAATTAACAACTTCAACGTTCGTTGCATTTGCTGGGAGTCAAGTCCAAAGCGTTCGCCAGTGACTGCTCAACTGTGAGATGAGAGGCGGAGAACCAAGGAGTCGGTGAATCGAAGGGGGGGCGGGGTAATGAGAAGGCAGGAAGAAGAGGAAGAGTGAGAAGAGGCGGGCAGACAAATTGCACTCGCCGAGCACCACAAAACTGAGACAAAGACATAAGAGACTTCTAATGTGTGTGAGCGGCTAAAAACGACGGGGCCGAGGAGCGGGAGGAGGGATGAAAAACCAAAGCCACAGTCCGTGAAAAATATGCAAGAAAAAGTCCAAAGCAACCGAAATGAAATGGCCAAAGTAAGTATATTTTTATAATGGGAAAGGCAGAGAAGCGGGAGTTGGGCATAAATTTCCAGCGAATCTTAGATGGCAGAGGGTTCTCCTCCATAAAACAAAAGGCCCCCAGATTTCCGGCTTCATGGGAATGCAACTAAAAAAAGGTGGCAACAAAGCTGGCCAAAAAATGATGCACCAAAAAAGTTGCAATCTCAAAAGTAGCCTTGAATGGAAGTAAACAGAATTTGTTTACAAAATATATTAAAGATTAAAAATTAAGTTTATTTTATGAATAATAATTGGTTTTTCCTTTTAAAAATTTCATTGTTTTTCAATTTTTTTTGTTTTTTCAAATTATTGATAACAAAAAATTGACTCAGTTTTAAGGAATCAAAAAGTAGTCAACAAGAAACATTAAATTTTAACATTAAAAACGTAATTTATGTGCAAGACTTTCTATTTAAAGACTAATATTAATTGTACATTTTTAACCCATTTTCTTAACCCTCTAACTTTACTCTCTGTGTAGCAAAATGGCAGCCCAAAACAACTGCTATTTGGGCAGCTTAATTAGCCGCTATCCACAGCGGATAATTAAGGGGGGGTGGTGGGCTAAAGGTGCCGGATGGAATTTAAACATGCCCAAGCAAACCTTTATTAGCCCGAAAGTATGCAATGGGAAAAAACGTGCGAGAAACTATGCAATGGGGACCAAACGCAGGGAAATAGAATAGTAAAATGTGAACAAAAAAAAGTGATGAGAAGAGGAAAATCGTACACAACGGAATGTTGAGTGTGGAAAACTTCAGGGGAAAACATACACAGGAATGGGATTTTCCTGACGGCACGTGGCCAAACGTCACAGTTTGACAGCCATTGCATAGCCTGAAAACCAAATTCAATTTTCCCCAACTTGAGCAAACATAATTTTCCTGCACAGTCTAAGAGTCAACCCAGTTTTGCCTCAAGAAGCTAGACGAGACTTTCTGCCAGACTGCCCTTTTTTAGCTTTTTCCCCCTTTTTTTATTTTTTTTAACTTTTACCCAAGGAAAGCCTGCATAAAAGGCACTCGAATGCGGATAAGAAGGCTGGCTGCATCTTGAGAAAATATGGCATAGGCTTTCAAGGAGAAGAAAGAGGGATGCGGGTTGCACTTTGCTGCACTGCAAAAACCCCTCGTGGGTAAGGGATGAAGAAGGCGGCGGTATACCGTCTGCTTTTTGCCTTTTGATATAGAAAAGTTTGCCTCCGAAATTGTTGCGAAAACTAAATTAAAATCTGAAAAGGCTTTGGAACTTGCATGCCAGGCAAACGGATGGGTTCAGAGCAAGAAAAAAGATTGAGAAAAGGCCAAACGGGAAGCCATACAATTCCTGAGGAAGGCCAAGTGGATTATGCTCTAGAAATTCGACAACAAATTAAACAGCAACTAGCTAGTAGAAGAGTTTCAAAATTGGGTTATGAAGAAGCAGCCTATGACCAGGCTATGATGCAAACTTTTTGTTTTGATGTATGGAACTTGAAGAGAGAAATTTAGCCTTTGATTAAAAATAAATAAAAGGAATTTTTGTTAGATTTTAATTTTAAAGTTTGTCACTAAAAAATATTTCACTCAGTTAAGCTTAAAAAGAGAATTAAGTTAAATTAATTTTAAATATTTTTTAACATTTTTTTTAAGATTTGATTTTTTGTTTTTTTCTAACTTTTTATTATTTTTAATAAAACTGTTACCCTATTTTCCAAATTCAGTACTAAAAGAGTGTTAGTTCCTAGAACAAACACAACAGAGCGCCAGCACAAAGCCAGTTATACATAAAATCCGCTAGATGGCGCTAGTATGAAACACCCTCTAGCATTTGACAAGCAAACACTTAAAATGTTAGTTTGAAATACAACCGCTGCACTTACTTTTGGCGCCACTGCCATACTAAACAGTTTTTGTTAGAAAAAATCAAAATAACAATTTAGTTAACTCTTTTTAAACGAAAATGATTAACAAATACATTTACCAATAACTGTACTTGTCTTATTCAGGAAAACCCATTTCCATTAACACAAAAAAAACACCTTAAAAGCGTCTCCCTTTCACCCGTCATGAGGCCCTTCAGGACAAACTCAATACACCTTAACGATCTATTCTTCACAGACTTGGCTAATAAATTTTGCAATAAACTGAAGGAGCCACACCTGACAGCTGCCAAAAACTTCAAAGACCGCAGCTGAATCGTAAAAATTGACATCAAAACGACCAAAAACCCAACCAACCACTTAATCCCTGGCAGCACACACCCGCACCCAGACATATTAACCCATGACAGCCCTGCACAATTTGCCTATTAAACTGGGAGACGGAACGGAACCCCGAAAAAAGACCACAACAAAGCGCAGATTATGTCAAATTATAGAGAAGTTTTTGGTAGGAAAGGTAGAGGAGTGTTTTTTTTTTTTTGGCAAGGGGAGGGGTTTTTCTTTTGAGGGGGGTGGGGGGGTGACTCCCCTCATATGTGGCATTGCTATTCGTTGGTGGCTCTTTGTCCAGATCTAGGCTCTGCCCATTCCCCATTACCCATTCATTGTCCCATTGGTTATTTTTATGGCTTGCCAGCAGTAAAATGAAATTTTTACTACTTCGGGAGAGTTTGGGAGGGAAAGTGGAAGGGGGGTAATATTGCAACTGCAAGTTGGAATTTTATGGGTCAGTCCATCACACACACACTGTTAGATTAGTGGAGCATATGCCCGGGGACAAGGCGAATCCAAATGGGCCGATGACCCGACCCCGCGTTGGACAATTGCCAGCCCATTGCCGTAGGTCAGGAGGTGGTTTATCTTGATACCGCAAGGGTCTAGGGGGGTATATCTAGTCGGGGGGGTACTCTGTAAAGGTTGGCAACTCACAGGAACTAACTTTCTGTACTTTGTTCTTCATCCAATTGGCAGTTACTTAAGCCAACTTCATTTCCTGAACTCAAAGTAACCTCAAGTTAGGTAACCCCTTTTAGGTAACCTCCCATCTATAGAGGTTCCGCATTGCTGACTTTCTTTTCTTTTCTTAACTTTACCCACCTGAGAGAAGTAAGCGGGCAGGACGCAGCGCTGGTCGTCGAGTCGCGAGCACTGCACACGCTCGAGCAGCTCGAAGAGATCCTGGGTGGCTGTGGCACCGCGCAGGCGTTCCGGACTGTGGGTGACGCTGCCGCTGCCACTTCCTCCGCCCGGCGGTTGCTGCTTCTGTGTGTTGGCCATGAAGGCATGCTGACGTCTAAAAAGAAAAAAAAAGAAAAGACAGGAAGCGGGTTAATAACACATAACAAATGCGGCACGCAAAGAAACAATCACTGGCTGAGAGCTAAGAGCACAGCTGAGCTTCAGATTCGCGAACATGCAATCTCTTCATGGTTCGCGGAGACAGCGGAGTGGCCAAAAGGAGACCTCCTTCGTTCGACTCACTGAGCAAGACGCTCAAGTGTCGGCCGCAGGGGTTAACTGTGCCAAGGGTTAAGCATTCGGTTTTTTTGGTCTGCCCGCCAATTTATGGGAACAGAAAAACGATCAGAAGGGCCACTAGAAAGCTCAAGACTTCCTGACTTGGAGAGCCCATTCGAGGCATTCTTAGAGAGCGATTGAAGGTTTTGAAAGGGAAAACGTTTAGGGAAGGTTCAGGGAACTATAAATACCTTTTTTCCAACTAATTTATAGGGTATGTGATGAGGTTTCTTGACTCTTGACTTACTAACAAATCTCTAAAGTTCCTTCCTTATAATCCCGAACAACTTTCACTAAATAGTACATCTTTCACTTCATTTTCCTTGCCATTTCCCACTTCTTGCCCACTTTTTTACTTTCTTAGTAATGCTCTGCTAAAAGTCAAGGACTTTCCACACACATCCTGAAGCCTTTTCTTTGGCATTCTTCGAACATTTTCGAGCTGCTCTCACGCACTCGCCGAGAAGAATTATGAGTGGCCACTTCAGCGCACATTTCTCTGTTCACTCGGCGAGTTTATATTTTTCTCCAGTTTATTGTCACTAGAGAATATGTTTTTTTTTTTGTTAGCTGCTTGCCTTGTTTTTTTGACTTTTTTGTGAGAAGTTTATGTTGACATACAAACGACGAACGCCTCGAAATGAACACACAGAGGGAGAACTTAAAAGAGGATGTTTACTCTGATGTTGAGCAATGTCCTTTGACGCTGCTATTGCAGCTGCTCCTCTGCTCCACATTTTCCAAAATAGCAGAGCAGAGACTCACTCTCATCTCTTATTTTAGTTTATTTTTGTTACTGAGTGGAGAAGTTCTCGCTGCCTGTCACTCGTAAATTAACACCTACCCATTCCCTTTGCCTCTACGAATGGAGCTCGCATATGAAATGATGACAGTTATGGGAAAAGGATATCAAAGACACGACTCTGATGAGCCTGATTGAAGACGTAGAGCAGCTCGACTTCTGCGAATGACTCTCGGCGTGTTGATAGTTTTGAGAGTTTTCAAAGTGTGTGTGTGTTGCAAGTAAAGTGGCGGTGAAAGTGGAGTTCTGGAGGGGGTAATTGGAGATTGTTTGAGGGCGTGTTGTGAGTTAAGAACAGATGCTGGACAGTTTTTTTATCAACCTTTAACCCCTTCAAATTGATTGCAATATTGATTACACTTTGTAAACCTAAAATATGGTTGTTAAATATTTAATTTCAATCATAAAATCCCTTTAACCTTCAACTTTCCCAACCAAACCAACTTTCCACCGAACTTAACCCACTTTCAGGGCAATAAAATCACATCTATCAATGGCTTTTCATTACTTTTCATTGCTTTTCATTACTTTTCACTACTGACTATTGCATAAATCAAACGATTTGTTTTCCTCGCCTTTCAATAGCTTTACAAGCTGTGCAACATGAATTCTATTTCATGTTCAAATTACAGGAGCAAAAACAACTTTTATAGCATTTTTATGACAATTTTTCACATGAATTGCCCGGTCAAAAGGCAATGAAATCGAATCGGTGACGCGGGAAGAGATGAGGGACAGGAGAAAGAGAAAAAGAGGGAGGAACTGAACAGAAGTCAACTGCAGAAATGGCCCAACAATGGTCCAGTGATGATGTGATGCGAACAGGGTTTCCAAACCTACAGTTACATCGAAATCTGATGCAGTTATGGGGGGGTTTTTCTTTCTTATAGGAACAAACAGCTGAAAACACCCAACAAACAGACGTTTCCTGTACTGCGGTTACGCCTGCGCTGAAAAACCTTTTCATTCTCATTACATGCAACCACCAACAAACCAACCAGCCAGCCACCCACCCACATAATTAAAACCCATTACAGGCAAACAAAAAGCGTTAATTCTGAAGGGGCGGCATCTTCTAGGGCTTTTCGGGAACTGTTCATTAAATGCAAATTTATGGCCACCACCCAACCGAGAACCCCTCGCTTTTCAGGTTCTACACTCATTTGGCATGCGCAGCGCATTGCGCGGGTTTAAAGTTTAGCCGCAAAATGTGTGTGCGGAAAAATGGGTAAGAGTTTTCTTTTAAGTTGGAAAAACAATTGCCAGAAGAAAGCCAAAGCGGTGTGGACAGCCCAAGATAGATGGCTTCAAAAATCCAGCTAAAAAAGAGTACATAAGTTTTGGGGCTAATATATTCCCAAAGAGTTTTCCGCGGTTTGTGCTGCGTGGGAAAAAGACTTTGATGAGCTGGAAAACAAAAACCAGAAAGCCACTAAGAAAAGAACACAGAAAGAGAAAGAAAAAAGAACACCTTGCAGTGGGAAATGCCATTCAAGTTCTCTCTGTTTTTTTTGGCCATTCCCCAGGCGCTAATTTGAAACGTTTTACCAAAGATATTTTCCCCATTTCCCAAGTACTTCCCAGTGACATATTTCCCAGTGAGAAATTACAGGAAATGTCCAACGTCAAGGAAATCAAGTCCCAAAGGACAAAAAAGGACACACACAGAGAGACATTCATGCATTTCACAGCTAATAATGGGTCAGGCAAACTGGAAACTAGACCACTCACAGATAGCATCGCAGTTTGGAGAAAAGCGGGGAAATGCCTGAGAGAAAAAGGAAAAAAAAGCAGGGAGCGATGCACTCGCTCCGATAAGCGGACAGGCGACATGTCAAAGGATACTCGTGCATGGCACCAAAAAGTCAAAGTTAGATCCTGCAAGGGGTCGTTGCACTGGTCAAAGGGAAAACAGGGCCACCACCCTGTAATTAATATGGTCCCGAAAAAGGTTATTTTGAAAAACTGAATGAAAAGCCAATAAATTAACATTTAATTTGTGATATGTGAGTAGGAAAAAGGGTAAGAAAGTACTAAGTTTAGTATTACTATTATATAGAAAATCATTATCTTTCTCTTGTCCTTGGCAAACAGCTTTTCGCAATCTTGATTAATGACAACCAAACGCTGCCAAGCCAAACGCTGAGAAAATAGCCACGGAAATGAAGTTTGGCAGGGAGCAGGAAGGAGAAGGGAAGGTCTTAAGGAAATGGAAAAATCTGCATTTTACAGAGGGTTGGAGGGCTGGACAGCAGCGGTTCCTCCCCCCCTCAGCTCATTTTCACATTCATACCGAGAATGTCGCGACTTCCGCGCCTCGTGAATTGTCATTAAAATTAGTTCCAAGACAGAGCCGCTGAGATGCCAGCGAAAAAGGATTCGCGTACAAGTTTTTCTCATTTCCGTTGCTGCTGCTATTGCCGGGTTGGAAAACTTGCCGCTGCCCAGTTTTTTCCCTTTGTCTCTCGTACAAAAAATCCCTTTGGTATAGAGGGGTTGGGCTAGGCTCACATAAGAAAGGAAACCCGTTTCCCCTTTCGTTCAACCTCATAAATGCAACACGTTCCAGACACTCGAAGAAGTTGCAAGAAGTTCGTATCCTTTTTTCTTATCCTGGTACAGCCGAACCTCTCTAAACTCAGCTCATTTCCCATTTTCTTTTCTGCATTTTCTTCTTACCTAAGCTGGTCTCATAAATTAGCCACAAATTTGCCGGAAAGTTCACTCTGGCGGCGTTTTGAAAAAGTTTAATTGGCCAAATCGGGTTCTTTCCCTGATTTACATATTTTTTAATCGTCCTCCGCTTTTATTTCACCTTTTTTTGGGTTAAAAATTACACAATTTCTTGGACAGAACTCGTTTCTAACTTTATTTGCTGACAGCTTAAGGAAATTTATGGCTGCTCGATCGCCGAAAAGAAAGTTAAAGTGAAAGTGTAGCCAAGGATGTGGAATATTTATTAGAAAATTAAGGAGACAGCAGCTGGATGCGGTCAGTGGAAAAGATTTTCCCAGAATCCCTTTAAATTTTAAATTGCGATTAAGGGAAGCTAAGTAGACCCAAATTGCAGGCAGTTTTATGAAAGGGAAAAGGACATGAGGGAAAGGCTTTCCAAAAGGTGAGTTGTAGGCCAGGGATTCTGGGCAGTAAAAAGATCATTACGATAGAGTTCAATGTCTGCTTTGGGTTTGAGTTTCAAATGGGACATTTCGGAATGACCTTTAAAAGGATTAGTAAAGGGTTTAAAGGTAATGACTTTGGACCTCTACCTCTGCCTGGTTTTATTGGGATATTTCAGAGTTAAACTCTTTATAGGTTAAGATATAGCTAGCTTTTCCTTATCAATTAAGACCTTTATTACTTTACTTATTAGTTCAATTAAAAGAAACCATGTAGATTTCCCCCATAGCCGACAAAGTCATTGCATAATTACCTCCACTTCGATAGCTTTCCGCTGAAGTCTTGATAAATATGCAGAACATAAACGTATATATAATATATATATGTAAATAATCGAAAAAGGCAACTCTTGAGCAACGTCAACAACCCATTTATTCTGGCCACCTTTCCCCAAACAAGCCCCTTTCCCCCTCATATCACCACCCCTTCCACTTCCACAGCCAAGTCAAGTTCAATTTGACACGCAATTGCTGTCGTTTCGGAGGGGGAAAACTACAACTACTACTACTACAGAAAAGGGGGCTCAGAACAACCTGTTGTTGGCCATGTTTTCCTACCGTTTTGGCCAGTTCAAATGCAGCATGAAAATGCTGGTAATAACCGTTTAAACGTTGATACTTTGAATGCCTCTTACAGGTGGATTGCTGAACACTAAAAGGAGGCTACACTCCACGGGGCGGGACGATTCCAGCTGAGCCACTTTGCATATTAATGAAGCGCGTCAGTCAGTCAGTCAGTTAGCATGGCTATTTATAAGGCCACGAAGGGCTATGTTTGCGCCTTGGCCCTCTTGGCCTTAACAGATACTGAGAAAAATATTTGAGAAATTATTTATTTTCCTTCTTTTAATATTAAAAATTATTAAAATATAAAGCTTTTTGCCCTGTTACGTAAATTTTTGTATTATTCCTGAAATCTCTTTTGGTGCCACCTAAAAGTATGCAATGAAAAATGAATAATGTTTAACTAAGATCATGGCTTGGCCCTTTTCTAAGGACTTTAAGATCTAAAAAATTGTTAATAAAACTTTATTTTTATTTTAAAACTTTTTCTCCAATTTTTCTCCCAGTGTAGCTAAACTCCTTGGCTTGGAATTAATGCAGACAAGGCACGCGCTTCTTCATAATGCACGTGCCGAAGTTCAGCTCCCCCTATTACCCTATACATCCCCATTTTGTCACCTTTAACGAAAAATCGTTGACCAAAATTTTTGGCGCGCTTTTCCGTTTTGGCCAGGTGTCGTGTTCGCACACACCTTAGCCTATATAGCTTTATGACTTTGGCTAATGGGTTGGCTTTCCCCTGCTCTCCGCACTCTACTAACTCATATTCTTCAACTCCCCGAATATTATGTGGGCGACAGCAAGAAGGTCGCAACTTGCAATCTTTGGTGTCAAATCTTCGCCTCGGGGTCTCGTTAATTTCCAATTATTGCCAAGCGGCCGGAGCTAGATGTGGGTTGTCATAGCGGGATTGCCTCATGTTAACCCATAACTAAAAATAAACATTATCCATTGTAATCGCCCCGTTGGAAATTTGCAACGCATTTCCGCCAAAATCTCAAAATCCGACAAAGATGCGACATTGAAGGATTGCCGGATTGTCAGTTTGTCAGATTGTCGGCTTGATGCGATTGATGGATGACCGTATTGGGCTGATTTAATTAAATGCTTAATAGCCGATGTGTGGCAAGTCCGTGTTAGTGGGTTAAACGTCGACGGGTGATTATTACCGCACTCGTGGGATAAACACTGAAGCAAGAGCAGCGTTTAAAACCGCTAAAACTGCTCGCCAGCGATTCGCACGCGACTTTTCCCAAGCCATTATACGTATAGCTTTTATGACGGCTTTGGAGTTTTGTGGGTTTATATTTATTAAGTTTTTAACGAGCTTATTAACGTAGAATTTAATGCAAGCTTCTAATGACTTTTGCATGCAACGGAAAATTGCCAGCGATTTGGAAGCGACTTGCTCGCGTTTTATGCGGCAACCTAATTTCTAGAGAGTTTAAAATTCTTAAAAACTAGTTTGGGTTTTCTCAGTTAAATTTAAGAAATGTAAATGATTTCAATCGTTAAACTTTAATATTTTTTTTCGGAATTTACAACTTTTTGTTAGGAGAAAAGCCAATAAAACGTGTTAGCGATTTTTCCCGCCAGCGTTCTGTGCGCGCGTTTTCCACATTTGTTCGCCAATAAAACGCCTCGAATTATTTTGATTGCCTGCTAATGCAACTTCCTCCACTGCAGACTTCTAATTATGTTGGCTGCTGCTGTTGCTGGCTGGTTGCATGTCTTTTGACCATTTACTACCGCCGGGTTAAGCCCCCCGCATCGCCCTTGCCCGGTAACAGTTGTCTGGGTGCGGGCTAAAGTAAGAAAAAGTTTGAGCTGGGCAAATTATGATTGCACGTCTGCGCACTGTTTGAACTCCACGCCCGAGATGTTGGACCCTGAGGGGGATTCCTATTTTGGCCAGAGACGGATATGCATGTGTGGGATTGGCTTAACGGTTTCTTCTTGTGTTTATAGATTCTACGCCCGATCCCAGCCAATTGATAATCACTGAAGTTCCTCTGTTGACTTAGCTGACTTGCAAAAAGTAAATCCGCAAAAAAACGAAGGCCTAACGAGGGTGCGAAAATACAAAAAACAACACGCAAAAAAGGGTTAAGCCATATCACCTTACACGTTTTCCCTGTGTCCCTTTCACAGCTGTTAGGGTAAGGAAATGGGAAAACAATCATCATCATCATCAGTAGCAGCTACATCATTCATTAATCATAAATTTAATTAACAAAACAGCCTAAGAAACGACAAAGAGGTTTTCCTTGGTCTTAGGGTTCCTTTCGCAGGATCTTTGGTTATCCTTTTTTTCCCTTGAACATTCCAATAATCCATAACTCTTTGCCGATTTCTGCGGTTTGTTTTTTCACGCCGAACAAACAAACCCCGAAAAAACAAATGACATTTGACAGTTTGCGAAAAACGGGGGTTTGCTCTAAGGGAAATTTGCATATTTTATGCATTTATGGCTATTTAGAACGCACTCCCAAAATCGCAATCCTGTCGAGTGCAGGCAGGCAGGCAGGCAAAGAGAGGGCCTAATTAGGGCCCATTTCGGTTTCAAATGGCAAATCAAATGATTTGCATAATTTTTGCATATGTCAGAGTAGCGACATAAAGAGACATAATAGGAGATGCAGTGGGACTTTTGTCAATATTTGCTTACATGACATTCATGGCGATGGGTAATGAATGGGGTTTGTTTGGGTAAATGAAGGTTAACATTAATCACTATCAAAGAGATCTCTATGTTTTAGGACAGTTCGATTATTTTCTATATACATACAGCAGATTTTTCATATAGCGTTTCCTTGCCACCAATGTGTAGGACTCCTTGTGTGTATGCGTTAAGTATTTCATTTTGTTTGAGATCAGTTTTGAGATTTTTCGAACAGGTAGAGATCACTCTCTTCCCTTTTTTGGTCAGGTATAATTCACTTTTCTTGCTTTGTTTGCTTAGGTCAAGATTTGTTATTTTCTTTTTCTTTCGTTTTCCCAAGAGAGCAGGTAGTTTTTGATTTAAGTTAGATTAGGATTTATCCTTAGATATTGCACAGAGAAGTTAACACAGTTAACACTAAGTATCGGTAACTAAATACTTATAGAATTCCCCTTGTTCTTTGTTTGGTATCTTTGAGATACATTCGCTATGTTCGTTTTCGCAGTTGATCTTTTTTTTCGTATTTATCGCAGCGAACTTGACCCACTGAATCGACACGGAACCCCGATTATATGTACAACCTAACCGCTCGAAGAATGTTTGTGAACTGAATTCTGTGCGTTGGCAAAAGTGGTTAGAGAGGTCTGCGGAGTTGTAGTTTCAACCCCCGCCTCGAAGCATGTTCGATCGTTCGGTTGCACAGTGGGCAAGAATGATGAACATGTTCGATGGCTCAAAATGCATTTTATAATTTAAAGAATTTAAAGTACTTTAATATGAAAAAGTTAAAGATGTTTTATCTTCTTTTAAAATTAGTAATCAATATCAACTTTCCTTTTACAAACTTAAATTAAGAATCAACTCCCTATAGCCCACTGTTTGATGTTGGAGTTGCCTGTAAGCTGGCTTCAACCCCCGATCTTTAGTCGCATGTTCGATGCGAACTTGAACTTGCAGCAACGACGTTATCAAGCCATTATTTGATACCGGTACCGGATACGAGCATGACACAAAAGGCTCGGCCCGGCTTTATGTTTTTTTTTTCGATTTGGGGTTGGCCCCTGTCCATTTCCAGCAACGAGACAATAGGCCTATGAATTCCGTTCGCGGAGTTCTCTTCTACAATTTCATACCCAACATGGTGGCACATGCAAAACACGCCAAACACGCCGAACAATAGGTCTGATGTCCAGCTCTTTGTGCCCAGTGGAGAATAAGTCATTAACACCTGAACTGGGCGCAGGCTCACTGAACTGACAGATCAGATATCAAAATTACGAAGGTATGTTTGGGTGGCAAGGGGGTGATAGATATCACATGAATGGTTTTGAAAGAGATGAGGAAGTAAAGGGTGGCGATATAGTAACTTTTTGATAAGGTTGTTAGGATTTCAGTTCAAGAAATTGCTGAAAATAGTCTTAGATATAGTAGAAGAAAAAAGGGACTGTATATGGTATAGGAAAAGCTTATCGGAAGACTTAACCCCATAACGCCATAACCCCATTAATATATTGTTATGCTTTCCTTAACTATGACATAATAACCTTACCCTTACCCCAAACCCAACCCCTTCCTAGGGCCATAATTAAACCTAATAACTTCTCCGCTTTTTGACCTGTTCATCTATTGCCTCAACAGTCTACACCCATTCCTTACAGCCAGCCCATCATGAACCCCAGACAACAGCTGACCTAATGCTCGATCAGACTAATAAGTAACTAGCCAACCTTATCATTAAAATTCAATTCGATTTCTTAAAGACAGACCCTTGCATCACTTCCACTTCCTCTGGTGTTACTCTCTTTCTTAAGTTTTTCCTACCTGAACCTTTTTCCCTGTTAGAGATGTTCCCATTCGAAACGCTTTATTAACCGTGTTTTTCGTTTAGTTTTCCTTTTCTGTTTTTGTTTTTTTTTCTTCTGGAGTGCTATCTCCAGTTTCCAATGTTGGCCATAACTTTCTATCCATTGTTTCTACGCGTCTTTTTATACATATACTGAGATACACAAGCTACCTATATAACCCTCTTTTCCCTATGTTTGTTGCCCTGGCTGAGGTTTTAATGGTCGTTCCGCTAGTCACTCAACGCTCAACACCTCATAATTCTATTGTCTTTCGACCTGTCCCGCGTCTGTTTCTTCTTCCCCTTCTGCCGATTGTGAGTTTGCATACATAATCATGATAATCAGCGTCTTTGGGCTCGCTTCTAGGCTTCCTTCCCTCGTTAACTTCACTTTCTGCTGCCGCTTCTTCTTGGCTAGTTGAATTCGTTTTTTTTTTCTTCTCTTTTTTCGAATTATGCAAATTTGTCGCCTGTCGTCGACGACGCACTCCACCCAGATTCTTTTCCCTCTCCGAAAGAGTTTTTTTTTCCAGTTCTTGGCTTTTTTATGATTTTTTAATTTGCAGCTCACTTGAAAGTGAGGTTCTCTTGGCCCGCGCTCTCTCTCTCCCTCTCTGTCTGTGTTATTTTATTCTAATTGTCATCTCAGGTGTCAAAGGCGCCTGCGCACGCGTTTCTCACCCCAAAAAAAGGAGGTAAAAAAAGGGGAATAGGGACACACCTCACCCTTCAACCCTAAAAAAAAGCACTCACCAAACCTGAGGGGTGAGTACATGAAAAAAAACCTTTTTTTTTAGTTTGAATTTATAATTTCTGGTCCAATATTTTTCGCCGCTTTCTCCCGTTCATTACAATTTGCTCGCTCAATTGGTAGAGTTTGATTTGTAATCACTTTTTCCGGGCAAAAAGTGAATTTCGAATAAGAAAATTAACATAATTTTATGAATTTTTATGTTCGGCAATTGCCAGAAACAAACCATTGAAAATTTTACTAAATAAACTATAAATTTGTTAGGGTAAAGGCAGACCCTAACTCTGCATAAAATTAGATGAGAAGGAGGTGGTTCTTTGGGTTTTGAAGAACAAACGAAAGTGGTTTTTGGATGTGGGTTTTATACTGGGATTCTGGGTGCTTATAAGGTGTTTTTAAACTGGATTATAGTTGGAAAAAATCTTTATAAAATTGTTTAAACTGTAGATTAGTAAACTTTCATGAACTTTTGATACATAAATAAAGTTATAACTTTCTTATTACCACAATTTAAGTTACTTTAACTAAATCCTAATGAAAAATGTATTCTTAAGATACAAATTTGGAATTTAAATACAAAATTATTTAATTTGTAACAACAACAAACTGAAATTTGGATAACTTCCTAAAGTTTTGCCCTCTTCTATTTCCATTCAAAATCAAAATCAAAAAATCTTCTTTAAAATTCATGACATTTTCCCTGCAACCACCTCATCACATATTCATTGTTCCTGTAACCCCAACCCAATTCGGCCGTGACATTGATAGCAGACGTTAACCCATGACTAACTAACTTCGTTGGCCCCCCTTCAAAAAAAAAAGAAAGCAAATTCCCAGGCAAAAATAAAAAAACAAAAAGCTAATTCATTTCAATGAAAATTTCCGCAATTACAGAACGAAATTAAATGTTAGAAATGTTCAACGGTTCTGTGTATATTTTCCCATCCAGTTGGACTGTGTGGGTGGGTTGAGGGGGTAGGTTGAGGGGGGGTTGAGGGGACTTTGCTGCTGGGAGGCTGTTAAGGGAGGCTGTCAGTCAAGCAGACGCCTCTGCAGCAAAGTACATTAACCCACGTTGTGGAGGCCTTACTCGAATGGGAATTGCTTGGGGAAGGCTGTCGCCCGACGGCCCACCTCTCTGAACCCCCTTTTCCTGCCTCCTTTTACCACCCCACCTAAAGGCCACTCAAGGGTGGTGGTGAGGGGGGTCAGAACGAGAAACAGCCACAAAATGGGAGCGACAACGACACCCTTTGGAAACATTTCTACTGCCGATTGTATACGCGAGTGTCCACAGCAGAGGTCAAAATAATAGTGAGTACTGTGGTAAAAATTTAAAATTAAAAATAGAAAATTTTAATATTTAATATAACTAATGTAAAGCAAGTTTTAAGGTACATGAAATCATTACACTAGTTAACAAGAATTTTTTTTTATATTTTTTTGATCATATATTTAAAAATTAAATATTTTGTTTTAACTTAAGGGATAAATTACTGAGTAAGTTTAAAATAAATTTATTTTTTTTTTTTTCATATTTTTGATTTTAAAAACTTGTTGCTGAGTGTACTGTATGCATCTATATCCATGTAGTTAGATATGTAGAATTGCATGTTTTTGTTACGCTTGTTAATTTGCTCCAAATGCTCGGAAAAAAAGAAAAATGCGAGTTTATTGCATGGCAGAAAGGGGTTAAAGCTGCGCTACACAGATTTTACACTCGTCCTAAGAGGCCAATTTAAATGCAAGTTTTAAATATTTTTTTTAAAATTTCTTTTACACACTTTAATATATAGTTTATTTCTTTAAATATTTTTTTTAAATTTCGGTTTAGTGTATGACAGAGCAGACTCTACACTGACCCCTTCTCAGCCAACATTTTCCTTTTCGCCCTTAAGTTGAGCATTTGCTGCATTGGCGCATTTTTGCAATGTTTCCGTTTTGAATTCACTTTTCATATCCCTGTTGGCCTCTCCTGCCTTGGCTCCTCTTAGAGCCAGCCCCTATTTATCCCTCCCCCAAACCTTTTCCCATCTTTTGCAAATTAACAAACCCAGTTGAGACCGCCTCGTCCTGAGTTCAGGAGCTGCAAAACGCAAAATGCTGCTGAAACTGTCTCGCGAGTGTCTCGGCTTTTCCACCTAAATCAACCCCCGCTTTCCACTTTTCCGCTTTTCCTCTAGGCACACATAATTAAAACGTCATCGTCGCTGTCGTATTTGTTGCTGCCGCCGTTGCCGTTGCCGTTGCTAGTATAATAGTCAGCGCTTTTTGTTCGCTCCTCGGGGTAAAGGATATTATATCAACTTTGCCAGGGGAGGAGCTTTCTCGGGTTTATAAATGCGTTTTAGTGACGGGAAAAGGAGAATATCAATTTATGTAGGCTCTAGGAGTAGTCATTAAAAGAAAATAAGAATATATAGATTCCCTAACTATTAGTTTCAGTTTTATAGATAATTTAGAACTAGAAACCCCTTTAAGCCTCAAATCAGAGTACCAAGAAAGTTAGGAAAGGGTTAATCTGATAATCCTTCTTAATATACATTATTTACAAGAATTAAAAAAAACCCAAAGTTAGGGTATTTCCCCATCTATTATACAAGATAAAACCTTATCAATAAAGCTACCTTAACAACAAGCGAAGCACTTGAACAGGTTCACACGACTACCAAACCCCCCACCCAAGCTCTTTGCCCATAATTCACCCCTAGAATTTCCTCATTTAATGAAATTTAAACAGCCCCTCCACCCACCCATCCTTACAACCTCTTCAGCTTCGCTTCCGAGTTCATAAGCATCCTCATTGAGAGTTTATTTTCTCTCAGTGCACTGCAGACTTTTCAACTTTTCCCTGCTTGCTGGGCCGAGTGGAGGAGCAAAGAAAACACAGTTGGGCGAACACTGCTAGCGGAGACTGTTCCTGCTGGCCCAACAATTCAGAGGAACTGAGTTCTTGCATAATTAGAATGCATCATGTTTAACCCCCCCCAAACCGGGCATCAGGAAACTCTGGCAATCATTCGGCAAATTCCAACAGTTTTCGAATAAACTAATTTGCTTGGCCAAATTTGCATATTGGGCATCGAATGTCGGCCAGAACTGGTTTCGATCACATCTCTCAGATAGCATTGAAAAATGCGAAACCAATAAAGGCATAGAGGCCTAGAGGTCGTAGGGTCGTTCAGGGGTTAAAGAGCCAAAAAAAAACGAAACGAAAAGCTGAGCCTCTGCTAAAGAGGAGTAAAAATTCAACATGCGGGCCCCGGAGCAAAACGCAGACAGTGAGCACACACACTGGGGGAAACACTCTGATGCACATAAACAGTGCACTGTCCCTATTGTGAA